GCCCAGATGTCCATCAACAGATGAATGGATAAAGAAGAGGTGGTATACATATACAATGGAATACTATGCAGCCATCAAAAGAAACGAAATCTTGCCATTTGCAGTGATGTGGATGGAACTAGAGGGTATTATGCTGAGTGAAATAAGTCAATCGGAGAAAGACAATTATCATATGATCTCCCTGATATGAGGAAGTTGAGAGGCAGGGCAGGGGGTTTGGGGGGTAGGGAAGGAAAAAATGAAACAAGATGGGATCGGAAGGGAGAAAAACCATAAGAGACTCTAAATCTCACAAAATAAACTGAGGGTTGCTGGGGGTTTGGGGGTAGGGAGAGGGTGGGTGGGTGATGGACATTGGGGAGGGTACATGCTATGGTGAGTGCTGTGAAGTGTGTATCTGATGATTCATAGACATGTCCCCTGGAGCAAATAATACATTATATATTAATAAAAATAATTTATTAGAAAGAGAAAGAAAGAAAGATAGAAAATAAAATATCTTTTAAAAAAATGTAGAGAAATTTCATTTCATTCTCAGTAATTATTCTGTCTGTATGACTGTGTTGATGTAAGAAATATATGGCTGTGGGCTTTTCCATAAATAAAAAGTTATGATACTGTGATAATAGAAAAATAGATACATGCTTACTCTTTGGTAAGCAATGTATTAAACAGATCATTTCCCAAATGAATAGAGTAGCAACAACATCATTACAGATGGCCACAAGAAACGTACTCATCCCTCTGGTTAATTGGAATATATGTCTCACATGTAAAGGCAACAAAATACCATGAGGTTGAATGCAAACCAGAAATAACACAGCAAACACCCTGCCCCACGAAAGGGATCTAGGGTGTTTCCATTTCAGTTCTGACTTTATAGTAAATTTCAGTGAAGAAAAATTGGAGGCAACAGATGAATCACCAAGAAAAAAAACATATCCTACATTTAAAACAAACTGTCCAAAATGCACTGACTGCATTCCGTAATATATGAACTATCGAAATGTTTAAAATGTAGCCAAAGTCCCCTGATTTAGTGAGTCTTCTGAACAACCCTCAGTTATTGATTCATGCACGAAATGTGCTTTTCTCCATGACAGATCCAAAATAAACTATGCGGGAGATAATTTCTGGTTTAATGATTTGGGAATTGAGTTTTACTGAAATGTAAATAAATAGCATTAATAAAAATTTATGTTTTATGCACTTTGAGGACTGGTAAATAGAAACAGTGCTTGATGTTATAGGTCTTCAAATATGGAAAACGAAATAGTTTCTAATCTAAAATTTGATTATATATCTATTGTCCAGATGTGACTTCATTGTTTATGTTTATTCTATGGCTAAACTATTTATTATCATTCCCCAATCAGTTCAAATTGTATTTAAGTTTCAAATTTAATTCCTCCAACATTATTATTTAACAAAGTCTAAAACTCACCTTCTTTCTTATTTTTCCTTTGGTCCCTGTATATAATCTCTATTGAGATATCTGAGAGGGATTTGAACACACCTGGGAGGTACAGATCATTTATTTAATGGAATACAAGAAAACAAATACTACAACTTTTACCTGAAGTTATATCTTTTTAAGTGTGTTTGTACATCATGGATGGGGTGTATCTACTGGGAATTTCAGTGTGTGTGAATGCATTGGAGATAATGGGATTGATTACACGATCGACAGTCACATGCCGACTGGATGTGAGTCTGGGATCATTGCCTTTTGTTACCTGAAAATGATCATGTGTGCCGTTTACATACAGATTAAAATGCACATATAGAACAAAAGGTACATAAAGAATCAAGATGTTCTATTTGTTGAGCATCTACTTTGCTTGGGAGCCTTATGCGTACCCCATTCAATCTTCCCAATGCTGTGAGGTAGAAATTCTTGCCCTCTGAGCCCTGGACGGTGAAGCCAGGATTCGGCTGCCTCTAGATGGATAACCCTGGGACACGGCTCTAGCTCCACCCTGAGAACCCCCTTCCCAAACCATGAGGGTCCTCAAGACCCAGGCGGGCAGCTTGCAGGCCGCGCATGATCCCGGGCACCGTGGCCCGTGGTGTGCATTTCCTAGGCCTTTCAGGAGCCACAGGGCTGGTGGTTATCAGTGTGAGGGGCAGAAAAAGGTGGCCAGCTGGGCTCCGCACCCATGTCCCTGGGGCCCTCCTGCAGGACAGGGACGGGGCACAGAGCCCCCACGGGCAGGACCCACTCCCTGACAGGGGCTGAGCTCACGCCGTACCCTTCCTGTGTTCCAACTAGAGGCTCTCCTCCTTCCGCTTCCTGCGGGCACCCTGCCGCGCCTGCCACTGTGTTCACCTCCCAGGAGCCTCTCCTAGTTTTTAGTCAACTTAGCAAGAAGGACCTGCGAATTTTATGTCATTCAATCTCCCAAAGCAACTCACGCAGCAACTTAACTATGTAGCTGTTCGGCGTGTTTCATTAACTAGATCGGTGGGGGGCACCAGGGAGGCTCAGTGGGTGAAGCGTCTGCCTTTGGCTCAGGTCATGATCCCAGGGTCCTGGGTTCGAGCCCCGCACTGAGCTCCTTCCTCAGCCACAGCGTGCTTCTCCCTCTGCCTCTCCTCCCGGCTCGTGCTCTGTCTCTGTCTCTCTCCCTTGCAAATAAATAAATAAAATCCTAAAAAAAAAAAATAGATCCTTGGAAAGTATGGATTCATAAACCAACCTTTCTGATCATGATTTAAAATTCAAAACTAACTTATGTTGCCTAGAGCTACAAATCTACAAAATTCCCTTATAACATTGCTTTTTATATATGCATATTATATTTACATATATATGTACACGTATCATGTACATGATACACATATATTAAATCTAAATTTAATATATATCTAATTTTTATTTAACCTAATATATTTATTTTTCCTAATGTATTTGTTTAAATATAATATATTTAATATATATTATAATATACATTATATGTTTATGCATTACTAACAATATAAATAATAGTACATATTTCTATTGTATGTTTATAGGTCTATTTCCCTTTATAGTTATAGGTGTGTATCCTTACATGTGAAGAATAATTCACATATATAACAAGTGATTTTCAAACTTTCAAATGTAAAAAATAACAGCAAACGTTGACACAGAAATTTTAGAGTACTTTTTAAGAATTTGAGATGGAATGGTATTTCTTGGGCCCTTTCAAGTCTATGAGGTTCTTGGGCATTTTACTTTATATATTGGGCATTATTTATATTGTATAAGGGGTACTTGCCTTTTAAATGTAACTAATGTACGATGGAATTTGTATTAAGTTCCTGTGAGATGTAGTCTATACACGTATGTGCATTTTTAAGTCTATCTCGTACAGCTAAATGTCCATGTGGTCATTAGGTAACCCGTGGAGGCTGCTAGGCATGTTACCATATCGCTCCAGAGAGGACGTGGAGGTTCGCAGGCTCTGGGCCCCTTCTCCACCTCACCCAGGGACTTGACCGTTGGTCTGGAAGTAGGTTCCATGTGTGTGGCTTTGCCTCTGGGCTGAGACCCTGCAGGCAAGCGCACCACCACCCCATCCCTGGGCAGAGGCTGTGGGACCATCAATTTGCAACGAGGAAACCCCCCGGGCCCTGATACACACTTTGAAGGCATTGTATTCGGATGGCCCCGTCTCTCCTGCTCCCCACCGGAGCGAATAATGCAGCGGACTCAAAGCTTATCGGTCACATTCAGACACACATGGAAATCGTCGTGGACACACGCACCATGCATGGGGACCACAGCACTTTCACCCTGTTGCAGCACGCTCTGCTGTTCCAGACCCCCTGATCTGAGAAGCATCAAGGGCTGTATCTTTATTACTGAAACGTGTAAGATTAGGAAGTTTCGACAAACTGCAGATTCTTTCTTTCTTTCCTTTGTTTCAGATTTTTCCATTAAAAGTGACTTTTGGCCATTCGCCGATTGATCCATTTCTTCTAGAACCTTCTATGCAGGGCTTGCTGTGTGCCAGAAACCAGAGCTGGATCCTGGCATGGCAGGCTTCCTCAGCCGAAAAGCTCCCAGGCTCATAAACACCGGAACCCAGAGGTGCGGTGCAACTCAGGGCATAAGGCTGGTTTGTTTGTTTTGTTTGCTTTAAATTTTATGCTCTGACTTTTAAATTTCACCTATTTGGTCTGAAAGCACTAGTAACACTGTGAGCTGAACCGGGGGGAGTGGAAAGTTTTGGGTAAGTTCAATATATCTAACTAAACTGGTTCTTGAGTTCATCCCAACATAACTTGGAAATCATTTTTTTTTCTGCCAAAACTCATGGGTTTTTACCATCTTCTTTTTAATGTGTGTCACTCTCAGAGGGGAGGATACAAGTCACCCGTCTACAGCTGGAGGAGTTTTGTCTGGAGACTCCAATGCAACCACGGCCTAGAGTCACATACAGAGCGTGGCCAACGACCAGGAAATCTATGTCACCTCCTGTCCCTCCAGGGCCCAGGGCACCAGGCCCCAGGCTGCTCTCACCACATCGAGCTCTGTCCCTGAAGGTTGACCGTAACTTATAATACATGGCTTTATTCATTTAATGCCCATATAAAGAATTACAATGATTGATATCTTGAGGGAAAATGACACATAAATATATATATGGAGGGAAATACAGACAAGAAGGAGAGACACAGAGAGACCCAGAAAGAAACAGTGCACTGAGACACCAAGTGTCTGTCTGTATCTCTTATGTACCTTGGGCCTGGAATATGCAAACATAGAAGTTAAAAATGTCAAATTATCTAACTGAGGGAAAATTACCAGCCCTTCCAGAAACCCATGGCCAATACACTAGTTCCACTAAATGAGGGAGAAGTGTGATGTTCTTGGTCCCCATTAGCACTGTGTACGATTGGACGCCAACTCCTGCTAGAGGAACAGAGCACTGAAGTGTGGCAGGGTTTTAAAGTGAGACCGTGCATTCCAAATTAGAAGGATTATTGAAGAGAAACCTAGAATCCATGCGTACCGTTGCAGGACGGCAAGGCTTGGCTCCAGGCAGGTTTTCCGTCTGCTCCGATCACACACGTGATGGACGAGGGGTCCACGATCTTGTAGCCAGAGTCACACTGGTAAGTGACACTTGAGCCAAGCTTGAAGTCTGTGCCAATTCTTGTCCCGTTCATTATATTTCCAGGGTCAAAGCAGGCTTCCCGTGGCTTCTCTGTGGAGGAAATAAATGTCAGCTGCATGAAGGCACAGTCTTAAGCTTCCGTTCCTTTAGTTGCTTACCGTTTTTATTGGGTGCCTAGAACGGCACCTGGTGTGCAAGAAAGGCTCAGACAGTACTCACAGACTGAACAATGACCAAGTTATTTGTTAATTATCAAGTTACTATTAATAGTGATATGCCATAAAAATGATTATCAAGTTAAAAATTATCAGTTAAATATTATAGAAAAAGTATAGAAAAATAGGAAAAACTCCTATCTAATAAAATTATATTTCTTTTTTTAACCACATTTTATGGAAGAACTGCTATTGAATTACTGTCATTTATGTTAAAAAAATACAGCATTATTGTTGTATGTATCTTTTTGCTCTGGATTATAGTACTGAACCAAAGACACTGACTCAGGAAAAGCTGAGGTCATTTTCCACCTCTGTGCTTAAATCCTACTAACATGAAATCACAGCACGCGTTAGGAACAATGAGAAGATGGGGCTTCTCGGAAGGCTGGTTCACGCAAGCGGAAGCACCTTCAGATACTGGTGACAGCAGCCCGGCTGGGAAGACGGGGAGGGGAAGCGCCCACCGAGCTTCCTGATGCAGAGCACACCTTCCCGGGAACGCATGGTTGGAAGAAGCCAAATGCTGTGTCTGCCCTGTACTGACCCCCCAACACCCAGCCTAATGGCAGGAGCTGCTCAGACCGTTCCAGGCCTGTTTCGTACCAGGCACTGAGCCGGGGGCACGGCAGGCTTTGACCCTGCGCTTCAGCACGCCTCTGCGAGGATGGTCCCCAGCCCGCTTTACACGCAGAGAATCTGAACCTGCTACTTGAAAAGTTAAAAATCTTTCACTAAAAACCTGTCTTTTCCTAAATATAATTACAGAACTGTCTTTGTAGCTTGTAGCTACACGGTTAATCCCAGTTAACGGTTGGTCACCTTAATATTTTAAATGTCTTTATATTCAAGAGATCTTCCAAAAACCTCTAAATGGAAATATATATATATATGTACAGACACACACATGCACACATATATGTTATATGTGTGTGTTTGTGCATATATATGCTTATATGTACGTATATATTTATATATGCCTATAGGTATCACATGTTTATAGATGTGTATGTGGTTATACATCATTTCATCATTTGGATTGTTTTTTGCTTATGCATGTCAACAGCCTTCAGGCCATCATCAAAGCTCCTGGTCATGTCAGAAGCCTCAGGAACTGATCTTATAGATCTTCAAATGATCACTATAGAGGTTACCTGAGATTTTCATCTTCCTTTTTTAGCTGAAAGGTATAAAAACAGAATTTGTCTTCTATGTGTGTGTGAGAGACAGAGAAAGTGATTGGGGCCATCAATGTCAACAGGCTCGAGGATAACTTGAGTGGAAAAAATAAACATGTCTTTGCTCTCTGCTTTTGGCTTGACAATCTCTCCCACTGTACAGAGTTTACCCGTCCGTCCCTTCATTCATCGTAGAAAACCCAGTGCTGATCACACACACAAAAGATCTCTGAAAATTATAAGGTGTAGACTTCAACTTTTTTGGTGGGGATTCATATTGGTCCCTATTTAAATTTTTTCTTACTGATTGTCTACATGTTGCTTATTAGTAATTCTACACACTCGCGTCTGGAGAAGACCACCCTGAGAGACTGCACATGTGTCATGAGAGATGAAGAATGAAATGAGCTCTGAAAACTTTGCATTGCACATTCTCTTAGAAATGGATGATATTTAGAAGAGGAAAAAGGTACAAAGTTTGGGAAGTTTTGCAGGAAAAAAGGAGACTTGTTTAACTGTATTTATTCCATATTTCCCATTATATTTATGAAGATCTACGTGTCAACATCAGCCAAACAGAGATCTCTTTGACAATTGTTCACTTAAACTTAAATTTTTTAAAAATTTGTTTTCTTCTTTTTTGTTTTCTTGTACAAACCCTTGTGTCCAGGGCTGACTTTTCAATAGATCACAGCGAGGAAGCTTGCTCTGCTACATACGAAACCCCAGCCCAGAAGCAGGTCGTCTACAAATGGTTTAGCACCAGGTTCCCCATGAACATGTGTTGCGTGACAGTAGAGGGGTCGACCCTCTTTTCGGCTGCATTTCCGGGACGAGGGCCTCTCCACACTGGATCCCAGTCCCGATGTGTGGCAGGTTATACTTAATTCTTAACTATAAGAATCTATTATGTTATTTACTTACATACTTTGGCTAAAATGAAATATATACTAAAAATATTATAGATTATATTATAATATATATCATTATATAATACATAATGTATTATAGATTAATTGAATAATATGTTATTATATACCTTCTTATATTATACCATTATGTTATAATATATATTATTGTATTATCATACTATAATGTATTATTATATTGCCATATATGTGTTTTACATATATTGCATTGTAACCAAAGCATGTAAATGTATGCAGACATATATATAAATAAATGCATACTATATGAATATATAATTTCTGTTAACATAACACTGATGACAGATATTATCATATGTAAAACAATGTAACACCTTTTTGCAAGCCCTTGTTCTACGCTACTGGAGTTTGTCCCCGTGTATCATGTTGGGACCAGCATTCTAATCATTTTATTGAAAACCGATTTGGATATTTTGAAGGGCAGGTGACATTGTGTTAATTCTTTGTAGCTGCGTAAATCCCATCTAGAGCAGAGAACATGTAGTTTTAGCAGAGCAGGAATGAAAAACTATGACTGTAGGTACTGGAAGGTTCGTCCCCCCGGCTGCTGTCCACCGGTGTCCCGCAGAACATACTGGGCAGCTAGTGGTCCGGACATGGACACTTCTCCATACACAGCAGCCCCCCATTCGGGATGCATCCCCAGGCCCCAGGAATGGCTGAAAATGCAGACAGCACCAGGCCCTACGTATGCTTCATTTTGTTCTATTCATACACATAATAGTTCTGCTTATAAATTAGGCACACTAAAAGATGAGCGATAATAACTTTTATTATAGCATATGGTTATAATGGTTTTATTTTGTGATTAGTTATGTGAGTGTGGTCTCTCCATCGCTCTCTCCAAATGTCTCACTGCCCTGTCCTCATCCCCTTCCTGTGATGATGCCTGAGGACAAGATGCCCACGATGTTGGAAGTAAGGAGAATGACCCAGATGGGGGACACAGCATCAGGTGACCTGTGGCCCTGAGGCTATAGCTTGGGGGAGGGGCATCTGCTTCAGGACAGACGTGGTGGACCCTGTCACCCAGACCAAGATAGGGCAGCAAACCTCAGAGAAGAGGTCTACCCCACATGACTGCTGCCTTCTCAGTCTCTTCAGTCATGTGTCCTTGGATATCTCTCTGAGTTTAGTTGAATATTTGGTTAATGCCACTTACACAATTATCCACTCGGTGTCACTAATTTGGATTTCTGATGGCAAGTGTCATCTTCGTTTCTCTAAACGTCCTGCGTCTAATCTTTTGGTTCCATTCATCGGCTGTCAGTTCAGGGTGTTTCGTGATAAATCACGGATACTGATTTTGCTCAGTTTATCCCGTTTTCTAAGTCAGGACTTCATAACATGTTGTGTTTTGCCATAGTTCACATCTGTTCTCCCTAAGGAGACACTCCTGAGCACCCCAGTCCTGGGGCCCCGCGGGGGGATCAGCCAGGGGCCAGAGATGGAGACTCGGCGAGGCTGCCCGTGACTCTGCTGCTCAGGTGCTGGCCCTCCAGGGGCGCTAGCTGGGGCAGCGCAAGCTACTGCTGCCTTCCCCTGTCTTCTGCTGGTTGTACTTGCCCACCGCCTCTACTGGAGAGCTTTCCAGACCTTAGGAGCTCCAGCCGCCAGAGAGATGGCTGGCCTGGTCACAAAGAACCCAGACAAAGGAGGCAGGGCTTTCCTCCCACACTTACTCACTCGCTCACTGATCATCTACCCTAGAATGCCCTGGAGGGTACACGCGTCCGAGCAGGCAGTGACACATGTGCGCCCCTGTATGTAGATGCAGTGTGGTCTTTTTTAAATTCATTATGGACTGGGCATTGTCACGATGAAGTGTGTTTCTGTGAGTTCTTGTTAATACAGAAACTATCTGATGATACAGAAAATGCTTGAAAGTACTTTTAAGTACTTTTATTCACAGACATTAACAGATCCCATTCCCAAAGCATAAGAACTCCTCTGACTGCTGAAATGTTTAAATTTTTTCCTGCTGTACATTTTAAGAAGAATTAGTAAGTTTGTAGGCTTTGCTGTTTAGAGGGAAATACATTAATATTCTACTTAAAACCATGTAAGGAGACACGTGCCCAGTGAAGAGTTAACAGAGATGAAATGTGTTTTGCACTGTATGTGACAATTTAACTACTAGTAATAAGTAACTCAAAACTTTAAATATACGTGTTCTCATTATTTTTATTACAAAGCACTCACTACTGTGAAATGATATTCCGTTAAGTCTTTTTCTCTAATTCTTAGCAATATACCTTGCATTTTCTTTGTTCACATGAGAAGTGGATTTGAAAATGGTTTAATTATTTTCACAGAGCCTATAGCAAAACGCTTAGTTTAGGGTGGTTTTTGTTTGTGAGTTTGTCTCTGTCTGTTTTTTCTGGGTGTTTGAAAACGGGATGGTGGATCACAAACGAAGTAGGGGTCACCTGTCCAGTGACCACACAGGAACCCCTGCCTGCCCTGGACGATTCATTGGACCAGGGCCCACAGGTGGTAGGACAGGGCAAGGGCCATGGGTATTACACGTGGAAAACCACAGATGAATCCAAGCTATTTTGATGTACTTAATCTTAGTCATTCTGACAAAATAAACTAGAAGATACTAAAACACATATTAAAATAATTCTTCTATGTCATCAAATCCTTCATTACACAAACCATTATTTTTACACAGCCATAAATTTGGGAAAAAAGAAATTATTCAGAGTTTTGTTTGTTTGTTTTTGTTTTTTCTTTTAGCTAAGGTAGAACTGTGTCTCCGCATTTTCTTCTGCACTGGAAAGATCGATCTGTCTTTCCCCAGACAGATGACAGAGATGTGAGCACTTTACATACTAAACAGACAGGCAAGATGGCGGAAATAAATGCTTACAATGGAAACATCCTGATACAAATTATTTGACGCGCCAATGAAACTGGCCACAGTACCTTTAAATTCAATCGCGAATCCCGACAAGCCCACAGAGGCGTCACTCCGAAACGCCAGGAAAACACTGTTTCCACTGCTCTCAATTCTTTCTGGGGCTTGAGAGCCCTGGAAGCTTCCAAGGAGAGGTCTGTTGGAATCCTCTCCTTCATAGATGTGCAGGAAGTCGTAGCTGGGCTCCATGTTGAAACTAGAGGGAAGAGACCTCATCAGGTTAGACACCTACGACGCGCCTCTCATCTCCCCAACTAGAACGTTACTGCGATCACACTGTGAGTCCCTTTGCTTCCAAGCAGCACTTGTTAAATCTTAGAACAACCCCAACGTGACATGTAACAGTAATTTACATGTCAAAATAGCTATGCGAGTAACGACTATCCACGAGAAACACTGTCCGTATTTTACGGGATGACCACTGTATTCAAAATAGTATGACTTTGAAGCTGATCCTAGTACTAAGGACTGAATAGCTCTTCCCCACACTCATGAAATTGCTAATGGAGTGTGGTTTGAAGGAAATGGGCTTAAAAGGGAAGCATTCCCACTGATACTTGATTTTTATGTGAATACTTTTAGTTTGAAAAACAATTACTAAAGTTTTGTTTAAAAATTCCCTTTTGTGAGCTTTTTGTTTGTTTTGTTTTGTTTTGTGTACTTTTAAAAATGTAGCTGCCTCTCCTTGCTTGGGTAAAGCATCACAGAGTGTGGGAGGCACCTGTTCCAGCCCAGGCTTCCCCTTCGCTGACTTCAGCCAATTATCCTTTTCCCATCCCCCCTCCCCTGTCTCCGCTCCCCTCTCTATCTCCCTTTCTTCTCTACTATTAAATATCCTGGTAATCCCCAAAGCTCTCAAGAGGAATTTGGCTTGCAACGTCTCTGCCATATTTGATGAGAAAGCTGATGATTATCTGGGAGCTTCAGAAAGGAACACAGTCTCAGTAAAAGACTAAATGTGCAGATGGATAAGGTCTTGATGAGATCAGAACAAGCCAACAAATTAGAGGAGTTTAAGTAATGCATTCTGGCCGGCGTTCCACTTCCCCCATCTCTGAATCAGGCCTTTGAGTCCATAGCAAGGACTCATTCTGAGCACCTTCTACTCTCTCTCCTTCTAGCTGGCCGGGGACAACAGGGATGGAGAGCCAGGAGTCTTAACAATCACCAACATGGGCTTTGTTAAGGTGGCGTTGTTTTCCTGCAGATTCAAGGGATGACAAGGAATACAGCTGTCTTCAGACATCACCCACTGCATTCTAAAGGAAGTGACAAAGAGGGGGCACCATGGAGGACCAAACGTTAATCCTGACCCCAGCTGGGCACCGTGCCGTCCCGCCTTATGTCAAGGCTACACTGGGTCCCGTGGGAGGTCCCTGGACATATTTACTAAAGGAAGTTGTAAAAGGTCTCCTAGTCTGATCATTTGACAGATTCCTTGAAATCAGAAATGAACAAGGAGTAAAAAATTGGCAAGAGAAAGGATAAAGGCACCAACAGGAACAGTATCAACCAAGTGGGCTTTAATTAGAATAAGAACTTTTTTTGTAATACTTAATAAGAATGTTATTAGAATCCAGTCACACTGTGCCCCAAGAGCTGGCATAGGTAATTATCATGACAGATAATTTTCGAGCACTGGAAATACAGCAAGGCACAGACACAAAGCCTTCCGACTGCTCTCTCTCTCTCTCTTTGGATATACCATGATCCATGCATAAAAGTCTGGAGTGAAATTTGTAATTCATTATGATTCCATTTGTAAAAATCCATCCGTATTTCTACTTATGCTAGCTGCACAATCCATGAACCCCAACAAGAGACCAAAGTCTGGCCCAGCTGTTGAGCCAAATTTAATTTGAGTCCCAGTGTGTGAGTAGCATAGAGCCCACAGGTGACAGAGGCCTGCAAGAGGCCGTCCCTCCTCAGTCATCCCAAGTACCGGGATGACCTTCGGAGCTAGTGCTCCAGGTCTAGTAATATGCTGTCTTCACTAGTAGTAAGGCCAGCGGCCACCCGCCCCAGCCTCACAGAAACACACTTGACTTGATTCACGTTCTTAAAACCGTGCATCTGGGCCGCATGTGTCAGGGTCATCCCCTTTGCTGGGGTGAAATCCGTGTCCCCCACCCACTGCTTCCTGTCCCCTCTATCTACTAAGTCGATCCGGTTGGGAGGTCTCAGGATCATTCCCAACTTTGTGAATTTTCCATCAAATTGAGTCCGCTAAGGACTTAGGGATCTAAAAAGCGGAAGAAGGGTTGGAGATTTTCTACTTTTACTTTCTTTCCAGAGAGGTGTGTAAAATAAGTAGGAAAAAAAAAAAAAAAACAGAACAGAACAAAACAAAAAACTTCTGTCTTATCACAGGGACTGCACTTGGGGGACCTTGATAATCAGTCACTGTGACACATCGGAAGATAGGAGACTCTTATTTATAAGGCTCTGTGTTCTCTAAAAGGCTTTTAATTGTTCATTTGTTTTTCATCTCCTGGTACCAGTGGTGTCTCCTGGTGTTAAGGAAGGCACTGGTAGAAGTTAACATTCACAAAACCCACAAAGATGCCCAAAAATATAGCTGCAAATGTTTGGTGGTTTTGTGTACTAGCTGAGAGACATACTAAGTATTCATCAAGAGGCAAATTTATAGCAGCTTGGGTAAATTCAAGACACGATGGCTTATCAGACTACTTAACATTGAGCACCACAGGCGTTTAAAATTACACTGATTCAGATCCCATCAGGAGGAGAAAGTGAAGGAAGATAATCACCACCAGGCCTGGAACGGTGACATAAACATCAGAAAAGGAAATGTGTTCAATTGACAAATAAATGTAATTAGACCACTTCACCCCAGAGAGGTAAAAGGTCAATAGCACGACCTTTAGAACCACTTATTTTTTAAAACGTCCCTTGCTTTAGTTCAAAATGCAGAAGTGGAGGACTTCGGATTTGCAAAAAATTTCAATTATGATACACCAGATACAAGTAATATGATAGTCCCATAGAATTTATAAGATAATCAGCATGTTTGAAACTTCATCATCAAGTTTAGCAGGAGTAAGTCAGCAGTAATTTTTCAAGGAGTAACGTCTACTAATTCAGACTTTACAGCAACCGCATTGGGGGAACTTCCATTTTCAAAGTTCTATCAAGTGATGATATCTCAATGATAATAAAGATTTTATCACAAATACAAGCGGCTACCTTTGGGAATGTCAGACAAGACGTATGATGGGAGTGACTTCGTTATCACACGTGTGGGGAATAGGAGACACTGATGAGACATTAGACTAAGCCCATTTCTATCACTGTTTTATTACTCTTGACTATTCTGTAAATGAAGCCTTCTCATGTGGAACATACCGCATGCAAGATAGTATTTAAAAGTAATTCTTGCTATGTCATGTCTGTCCTCAGACAAGCAGAATGCTCTGTAGCCAAGTAATCTATTTCCATTTGTGTCCTTTTGCAGCCCGAGGTAGCAGCTCTCGGAACGAGATGGAGGGGTTTCATTCGGGTAAAACTGGGCACTGCATGAAGGGGTACGTGGCATAATTTTTAGGTATGACCCTTAACATTCTGTCAACAGGGATTCTACAAGAGACGGTACCTTTTGAATATCAAGGCAATGACGAAGTCGGGATTCACTTTTATTCTCCAGTCACATTCTTTGCCGGGAGGATACGGCTGTGGGTAGTTAGGCGACAAAATGACGCCTGCCGGGCCCGTCAGGTTCCCCCCACAGGCAGCTGTCACAGAAGGGAAACAATGCTGGTCAGTGAGAGATAAGACACCACAGAAGTCAACAAGGACATGCCCTACCTATTGGGTTATTGGACACTTTTCCAGGTGAAAATTTAAGACCTAGGAGGGCTGTCCATTTTTCATGGCTCGTTCATGATTTTTATATAATGTCCCGCCATGTTTTTAGGGAGGATTTTAAACTGCTGACAAATAAACTTGACTTGCTATAATTTTAAGCTTTACAGATTACTCGTCCACGCTCCCAGGATGTGCACGCACGTGCGGGGACACGCACACACGCACACACACACACACACACACACACACTTGGGAAGGGGAATGAAGTCCCCACGAACAACATTTATGGTCCTGCTAATTCTTCTGTCCTTTCTGGTCCACAAAGTCACTGCTACATTGTTCTAGAAGGCATGCTTCCGGTTCACTTGTGTTTCACGCTTGCCTGGCACAGTTTTTGATCAAGTATTCAAGAAATACTCGTGACCACATATTTCTCACCATCCTCTGATAGGTGTATGGTTTTGGACACAATTCAGAAATGACAGAACTGACAAAGTTTAAGTGACATCCTGGGATAGGAAACCAGTAAGAGAGTGAGCTGGGACATCAATCCTAAAAATGTTATGTGATCACAACACTCAGTAGGAGACCATCAAAAGAAGCACTTTAAATGATGCTGATCTTTTTTTTATACCTGTCACTTTTTAGTTACCTAGGTTGACATTTACATTAAGAAGATGACAGTTATGAAGTTCAACCATGTTAATAGGTAAGCCAATTTTCATTCTTAAACCTCAAAACATTTAGGAAGGTTTCACTTACTATGCAGGATTTCTGTTAAATCTTCCATCATGTGGAAGGTGTGAAAACACTGCAAAATTCACAAGTATATACATTTTCAGATGCATTCAGGAACATGCTCAGTTTATGGTTCTTCATATTAAATACTGTGGCTTGTCACCAAGTTGCTTTAAGGAATGAGCCCAGTTAAATTATAATGTTCCATCTAAATGAGATATTGTATTCATATAACTGACTGTGTATGCATTTAGGGGGAAAAAAGGGTAAGTAGAGAAAGAAATATCCTAATTGGTAATTTTTTTCTACACACACACACACACTTGACTTTTTGGGAAATTATATGAAGATATGTGTGTTCTAAATTTCTGTGATGGCTATGTCTTTCTATACTCATTTAGTGCTTCTGAAAACAATGTTTTCCATAAATAAATAAATAAATATTTTATATATAAATATTTTATATACCATATATATTTTAGATAGTACTAGAATTTGTTTTATACTTTCTATTAAAATCCAGTCTCATTAAAGGCAAACTCTACATAGCATCATAGGAAATACTTATAATGAATTCAGATATGCCCTCAAGAGTAATATGATACAATTTTCACAAAAATGGTTAAACCCATATTTCCCCAGCATGCAGTCTGATTTTAATAAACTCTGCCGAGGCACTGACTAATCAGCTCTCCCAGGAGGCTGCCTCTCACGGCATCAGGCGGAGAATGGGGTGCGGGTGGTGGCAGGTGGCTTGGAGGTGAGGCACCGGGTACCCCAGGGTCTGGGGACGTTCCACTGCACGCAGGGTTTGCGAGATGAAGAATGACAGATTCAGGCCACTGGCTTCCAGGGTGTTGCCAGCAGGAAGAATCTGGGGATGACACTAGGTACTGACTTAAGCTAAACAAAGGGGTGTCCTGGTCTTATCCTGAACAGACCCAAGGAGGCATTTCTACATGAGGTGATCTGGAAGCTTCCAGGGGAGTAATAGCACCGTCTCGCCATGTTTGCTCTCTGGTTGGGTCAGGCTTTTTTTCATTTTAGCTTCATTAGGTTTTAATTTGAAAGCTTGCAAAATATTTTGGATAGCATGAGGAATGAGTACAAAATGTGACTCAGCCGCTCCAGGAAATACTTCGGAGGGAACGGACGCAGAAATGAAAACCACACATTTCTATCAATCCTCGGCACCGTGTTTGAAATCCTTCAGCCCCACTCCTTGTCCCCGGTCACGTCTCCATCCCTCATGGTCTGAAGCAACCCTCCTTAATGAGACACATCCACATTCCCGCATCAAGACGGTTCAGTGTTTATGCCATTAAACAACATAACTAGTCTTGAAATAGTCTCCCTGCCGATCAGGGCTACATGTGGACACATAATGAATTTCTGTAAACTTAGGGTAAATTCTTGCTTTTCAGAATTCTTAATAACTTGGACTTGGACAAAAGGGATTGCAAGCTATATAAGAAAATGGGGACATGGGGATTTTGAGGGACCCGTCACTCAGAACTAGAAAGCGGTGAGCATTCTCTGGTCTGGAGGCAAGTCCTCTGGGCTCCACTGAAAACCCCAAAAAGGAGGTACCTCCACCATTAGAGTCCTTTGGGAAGTGAAGAAAGGGAGCGATCCAAACCATCCACAAGAAAAATCAGCAGCAAATGACAAGGTTGCGGAAGTATGGACAACATACCAACAGGCGAACGGTTAAGAGATTTCAGAAAAGAGAGAGAAAGAACCAAAAACAGGAGGAGAAGGACTACTAATAATAAAAGGGTGAAGATAAATTAGTAGGCCAGCCAGTCGGGAAAGAACACATTCAAATGGCCAAGAAGAATATGAAAAAAAAAAACAACATTCAATCTCACTATTAACTTAAATGCCTTTTAAAACATCAAAGAATCATCACTTTCTGCCCATATCAAATTATGAGATTAAAAACAATGTACATGGGGCTTTCCCCCCCTCCTTCAGGGAAAATTAACACCCATGGCTCTGTTGGTGACATAAATTGGTGCACAATCCCAAGAGTTTTGAAAAATGTTTAAAAGCCCTGGAAACACATAAATTAGTAGAAAAATGTCATTTATAAATAAGCATGGATGGGTTTTGCAACACGAGGGTTCATTTCTGCAATCATCATAGTAGAGGAGGGACGGAAGCAACCTAAGTGTACAGGAAGAAAGGATCGTGCGTTCCATGTTGGCCAGTCCACAGAGATGCTGGGTAGTCATTACAAACTAGCAGAGAATACATAGTAGCACAAAGAGGTCCTCCTTCAGTACTGGTAAGTCAAAGTGCAATTTACAAAAGAAGCAGGATGCTGTCACTTAAAAACATTTTAAAAATAGATTAGACATACATAAAATAATTATGATGCTTATTTATGCATGTTTATGTTAATAGTATTTGCCTCCAGGTAGAAAGATGACAGCTTTTTCTCCTCTTTTCTTCTCTTAACTGAACATGTATTATTTTTTAATAAGGAAAAAGCTTAAAACATAAAATTAAAAACTGTCTTAAGTCAGCAGAGCAGAATTTACATCGGTGCTAAGGCACGATCAGCTGCCGTCCTAATGGATGGGTTTCTTACAGAGGACATAAGCCTCATTTCTGGGGGAAAAGAAATGTTTACAATGTAATGCAAAGATAACATTAATTTATTCCCGACTACACATTTTCTATTTTTCTGTTACATAATGCCTACGCGTGTAGGCCGGGCTGTCTGCACAATTGATATCCAATTGCCTAAGAGTGAGTTAAGCCTGTGCCTGGGGCCCATCCTCAACGCAGAGGAAATGCTGCCTATATTGTCTGTTGAGAACTGGATTATTCAGCTCATAAAATATCTACTCGTTGGTCAAAGTTATATAACTAAGATATAAACTAATGAACAATGATAGATTAGTTAGGAAGATGGTCACATTTTACAAGTGTCTAAAATCATGGGGACTGAAATATACTCTTTTGGAGTTTAACGGGTACCAGCATTGGTCTGGAAAGCACCTCCATGCGTTTGAAATCATGCAAAATGGGGGTGAAGGAAGTGTCCTTGTCAATTTAAAAGCAGAGTCATGGTTTAAAATGATGTTGCATTTACAGGCAATCACTCTACTTTAAAAAAGTAACACAGAAATCTTGTAAGTCTCCAGAGGACGTGGCTGGAAGTAAAAGGTAGGACGGCGCCCTGGATTTACAGAAGGTAAACTCGGCACAAAGCACCCAGTGCACACGGGCCGCTCTTGGACAAGGCTGAGCACTCTGATAAGTGGAGCCACCAGACCTCACGCAGCCTCCCAGTACTCGGAGCACTTAGTGGAAGTTACGACCTGCGTGTCCCAGCTGCACGGCACCACGGAGAATGCCTCTACCGCTGTGTATATGACAATAAAAATCATTTCAATCACAAAATCCCCTCAAGTTCACCCCATGCAAAATGGCCTATTAACTATGTGCATAGCATTTCATTATCACTTCTTCTCTCCACAGATTAATTAAATTTTACATTTTTCAAACAGATCATAAAGAAGTACAAATTAAACCATGACAGTTCATTAAAATAATAAAGTTTAGCACAGTTTCTTTCAAAAATAAGATGAAATAGGTATTTATGGTGAAATATTTAACTGAATGAGGGGACAGACTGCATGTAATTACTATTTTATATAAAATTATATAGTGCCCTAAAACCATACTTTTGATAGAATATCTTGGATAGTTATTCAAACTGAAGTCTGGAAAACCAACTGATACCTTTTCAATAAGGTCAAACGATGAAATTCTAGTGAATTTCAGAAGCATGTTTCTCCTTTTATCTTCATTTTGACCAAAGCAGTATAATTTCCGGTTTTCAGGATTCTATTAAAATGTTCCAGTATTATAGAAGAACCATTTAAAAAAAGAAAATACTTTTCATTGAGTTGGTTTTGCTGAAGGGCATGTTTCTATATTAAAAATGAGAATACCAATAGTAGGGTTATGAATATTCTGGCACCCAGAATTTTAAATTACAGTAATTTGACTGACCCATATTTTTACAAGATTTCTTAAGGATAGGAAATGTTAGATAAATGTCGATTACAGTACATTAAGTAAACTACTTTCTTTACTTCACCTAATAAAATAAGGTTGAAAGGTTTACACTAAAATTTCCATAGAGTCTCTGAACTAGAGGGCATGTAAGAAACTCTGGAGACATCATTTTGGAGAAATAACACATTTATGGAGCAATTTTCATGATAACATGCATTCATTCCAAACTATAAAATGACTGTTGTGCAATACCTATGCAGGTAGGAGGGTCCGGTTGCCAAAAGAATCGGTTATTCAGCTGCACACAGGTGATTTTCGCTTGTCCTTGGAGCTGGTACCCAGGGTCACACTGGAAGGTGATGGTGTCGCCGGGCTCTCTGCTATCCCCATAGCGGGTGCCGTTCTGAGGCATTCCTGGATCGTTGCAGGTGGACGCCACTGAGGCTGCAAAGCAGAGACAAGAGCAAGTCAAGCAATGGGAACAGGGTCCCCACCCTTACGTAGGTGTAGCAGCCCTTGGGTATGGAAGCCCTCTTGACTGGTGGGCGTCATGACTCGTCGGTCCGCATGTGAATGTATGAGAAGTTTCCGTTCCCAGGGATACATTCCATAACGTGAATCTTGATAATGGTTTCTTTGAACAAGCACAGACAAAATTCGTTGAAAACGCACACGGTGACAAATAGTCAAGGAACTATATCATGCCTTACTGAATACACACGCGGACACACACCTTCCCTCCGATTTTCTTGCTAACATTACTTTCATGACATTTAAAATATTTCATTAAAGTACATCAATCGCAAAGAACCTTGAGTAAAACAGAATAGGATAAATTACGGTCTGTGCCTTCCAGGTGACAACCAGCTGAGGTGACCAGATTGACGTTGGAATGGGAACCACTGAGAGAAGGTGCACGTCAGCTCAAACCAGGGTATCCTTAGTCTCATAGGGGCTACTTTCTTGGTAAAATGACCAATAACCCCATTTCACTCTCAAAAAATTTCTAACTTGGACAATAAATTATATGATCATCCTGGTTTTAACAGAAGCTCTAAAAATGATGACTTTGGAGTCAAAAAATAGTAAAAGTATTAGGAATTTCAAGTGAGCTTAATAGAGGCCAGCATCTGCAAACAAGCTTGTAAGAGAGCTTTTGAGGGACAGCTGGAGCACTGGAACGTGAGCTTCTGGCAATCATCAGGTGTGCATATTCTAATAGACACACCAAGAGTCACATCACACAGGCAGCTACCAGATCTCCTTGAAGCCAGTCAATGAGCGTACCTTCCTACCCAGATTCTGGCCCGGAATTCTAACTCCCACATTGCACTGAAAGGAAATGGCCGGGAAAGTACTGGCTATTTTCTCCGATTTCTGTAACTGCTACATACTTGACGTTCTACTAAAAATTAGGAAGACACACATCAGGGTCCAAAGCTTACAAGAAGAAAAAAAAAAAAAAAAAGAGATATATATATATATATATATATATATATATATATATATATTTCATTTTCACTTTCAACTACAATGGTGAGCTCTGTCCCTCTTCACTGCTGAAGGGGCTGTGATAAAAAGCTAGCTTTTCCTGTGGCATGCTCCAGGGCAGGTAACACTTGTTGCTGAAAGAGAAAGATGAAAAACAGCTCTCGCCCAATGGCATGCCACCATGCAGTCTGCAGCATGTAGGTCCATAATGTTTGCAGATGTAAGGTCCATCACGCTTTGATGTCTGTGTTTTGAGTTTCTTATTTGGTTTGGTTTGGGAAATCCTGGGGCATTGTTATGCATTTGGCAAGATAGAAGAAATTTAAATAAAAGATAGGAGATGCAAAATATGCAGGACCTGCTCTGTGTTCTCTAGGGATTTTTAACTAACTTATGGCTGAATGAACAAGCCAAGACAAAAGGAAATGGTTCAATGGCGCAGATGGAAGGAAAGGACGAGCATCAAGGATCCTGAGAGCCATCCGACTTGCTTCTGATCCCAGCCTTGCTCCATGGGATCCAGATCACTTGAGCTCACTGACCTTCGGGTAACTAATCAGGACAAATGCTAACTGATCAAATCCGTCGTGACCGTGGATGTGTGATAGCTCACCAACCTGTCTCTCCCCCTGGTGTGCTCTAAGCTAACGGAAGGCTGAGGCTGCCTTACCCACTCACTACTGTTCTCTAATTGGCTTTATCATGTATTGAAATACACAATCATGTGGCTCTAGAACACTACTAACAACCAAAAGTCAACATTTAAATAACATTCAGATTTAAGAAATAGATTATTATCACTCAGAAATATTGACGATACCTACTGATGCCTGCACTTCCTTACCTCATGCCCTCCCTTCACTCCCGATGAAGTAACTATTTGGAATTTCACAGCTCTTGTTCCTTTGCTTCTCTCTAGTTAGCGCAAATGTATGCACTCCAACAGTAGCTGCATGGGGAACCTCCCTTCTGAACTCACATAAATGGAGTTACACATTGCAGGTTCTTCTGAGATGTTCTGGCTCGGTATTATGTTTCTGAGTCATCCACACTTAGGTCTGACTCTCTGGCTTATTGATGTCCATCACATATGGTTCTCCATTGCATTAATGTACCAGCAAACACTTATGCTGGTTCAAGGGGCTTACCCTCTTACCCTTCTGCCCTGACCATTAAAGCCATGTCTGTAAGTCCTGGAAGACTAAGAGGAACAGGAGGCGAAACTTCCAGTCAGCCTGCAGATCGAGACCTTGAAGCAAAGCTGCTCCACAGCTGAAAACAGAAGAGCTGCCCCCCTGACATACACAGGACTTATATTTTGGGTTTTTTTTTTTTTTTGTTACGTGGCAATAGCTGACCGAAACAAGTCCTACGGTGGTAAACTGTGTTCTGTCCAAAAATACTTCAGTGCTTTCAAAATATGTGAAATTCTCCTTCACTCCTAAAGAACGTTTTTACTGAGTTTGTAGCTCAGGGTTAATGACTGGTTGCCATTTTTCCCCCTCAATACTGTTAATACTTTATTTTAGCTCTTCTGGCTTCAGTGTTCTCACATCACCTCACAGTCCGAAACCGCAATGAGATCACACTCCACTGTTTAGTATTCAAATTTCCATCATACCGTGTCTACCCGTGATCTTCCTTTCATTAACTCTGCTTGGAATTTATTGGAGCTTTTGAATCTGGGGATTAAGCCATTATCCTGTGGAATATCTCCTTTCCCTGCTTCTCAAATTAAAATGGAACAGATATCTCTATCTTCCATGTCTCTTCATCTTCCTCTCATTTTACAATCTTTGTAAACTTTGTTCTCTCTTCCGGACAATCATGGGGTGTGTTTTCCTCCCACCATCTGCTCTGCGTCTACATCAGATTTGTTATCTTTTTTTTTTTCTTTTTTTAAGATTTTATTTATTTATTTGACAGAGAGAGATCACAAGTAGGCAGAGAGGCAGGCAGAGAGAGAGGAAGGGAAGCAGACTTCCCGCTGAGCAGCGAGCCCGATGCGGGACTCGATCCCAGGACCCTGGGATCATGACCTGAGCCGAAGGCAGCGGCCTAACCCACTGAGCCACCCAGGCGCCCCAGATTTGTTATCTTAAAACGGCAGTGAGTTAACTTTTCCATCATTGTACTTTTCGATTAGTCATCACTCGTTTTCAAATATATGTGGATATTCATACAGTATATTGTTACTTACACATATTTCCATTCGTTTTTATCATGTGTTTTACATAATGATTTGACAACTCCCCTCACTATACTTGTTCTCCACAAGTTGCCCACTATCTGTCACCATATAACATTAGTATAATACCATTGACTGCGACCGCTATGCTGGACTCATTCCATAACTAGAAGTCTGTACCTCCCACTCCCCTTCACCCATTCTAACCACACCCCCCACTCCCTCCCTTATAGCAACTATCAATTTCTTCTCTGATTTATGGGCCTTTCTGTTGTTTGTATGTTCTGTTTTTAGCCGCCACATGTAACTGAAATCATACAGTACCTATCTTTGGATGTCTGACTTACTTCACTTGGCCTAATACCCTCTAGATCCACCCATGTGGTCACATATGACAAGATCTTATTTTTTTCTATGGCTAAGTATATATATATATATATATATATATATATATATATATATGCCACTTCTTCCTTATCCATTAATGGACACTTGGGTTGCTTCCATATCTTGGATATTGTAAATAATGCTACAATAAACATAGGGGTGCATACATATTTTCAAATTAGTGGGGTTTTTTTGTTTTGTTTTCTTTGGGTAAATACCCAGTAGTAGAATTACTGGATTGTATGGTATTTCCATTGTTAACTTTTTGAGGAACCTCCAAAGTGTTTCCACAATGCCTGCACCATTTACAGGCCCACAAACAATAGAGAAGAGTGCCTTTTTCTCCACATGCTTGCCAACATTTGTTATATCTTGTCTTTTTGATTCTATCCATTCTGACAGGTGTAAGGTCATATCTCATTGCGGTTTTCATTGACATTTCCCTGACGTTTAGTGATACTGAACATCTTTCCACGTGTCTGTTGGCCATCTGGATGTCTTCTTTGGAAAATTATTTATTCAGTTCCTCTGCACAGTTTTTAATTGGGTTATTTTTTCTGGTGTTGAGTTATACAAATTCTTTATGTATTTTGGATATTAAGCCCTTATAGGATATATCACTTGCAGGTATCTCCCCTCCTTCAGCAGGCTGCCTTCTCATTTTGTTGTTGGTCTCCTTCACTGTGTGGAAGCTTTTTATTTTGGTGTTGTCTCAATAGTTTCTTTTTGCTTTTATTTTCCTTGTCTGAGGGGGTACATCTAGAAAAATGCTGCAAAGGCCAATGTCCAAGAAATAAGCGCCTATTTTCTTTCTGGGAGTTTTATGGTTTTGGGTCTATTTCAGGAGTTTATTTCCATGTGTGAATCAGAAAGTGGTCCAGCTTCATTCTTCTGCATGTGGCTGTCTAGGTTTCTCAGCACCATTTATTGAAGGGCTGTCTTTTCCTCATTGTATATACTTGACTCCTTTGTCGAAGATTGAGAGGCACCTGGGTGGCTCAGTTAAGCGTCTGACTTCAGCCGGGGTCATAATCTCAGGGTCCTTGGATGGTATCCTTGTTTGGTGGAGAGTCAGCTTCTCCCTCTGCCCTTCCCCCCTGCTCATTCTCTCCCTCAAAGAAATAAATATAATCTTAAAAAAAGATTATTTGACCATATATCTATGGGTTTCTTAATGGGTTTTCTATTGTTCTATTGATCTATGTGTCTATTTTTGTGTCAGTACCATACTGTCTTGATGTCTACAGCTTTGTATCATATCTTGAATCTTGGAATTTTGATACCTCTAGCTTGGTTCTCTATTATTTTTTACACTCTTTCTGATCTGATGATAATTGCAATACCTCATGGAAACTATAGTGCTTCTGAGATTTGAATT